GTGAAGAGCTACCTCCTGTAGTCTTCTCTAACTTGTGGTTAAATGCTCTAATTGGGAGGAAGAATAACCATAAAGGATGATTTAAAGAGCCTGTGATAGTTGCAGTTAGTTTTCCACTCTTCATGAAATATAAAGCGATTCACAGTTAAAAAACAAAAACAAAAACAAAACACAACAAACCACCAGTCACCACAGCATTTGCTCAGAATTTGTCAGAAGACACCTGACAGCCAAGGAGTCAAGCACTTATTTGTAAAATTACTGAATTCTTGATAGATCTGTGGTGGACGAACTGGACACTGCACCTCTTCCCTGAGTTGTGCATGATTTTCCAGCCATCAAAGTTCTTGAGATTGGCCTAATGAAATCTGGCACTGATGACAGCAGATGAGGACAGTGAACAGAATAAAAAACTGGTATAAAATTGAGCCTATTTGTAGAGAAGTTTCAGCTTGTGTGTATTTGCACTGTGCTCATTGCATACTGTCAGAATTTCTCTCCTATGGGGAGCTTGGTCCTATGTGTAAATATTTATTGCTTGAGTAGAGATTATGTCATTGGTCCCTGCATCTGCCTGAAACTGGGCATTGCTTGTATGCAGTATTGTGTAGCTCTATGCTTCATTTTCGAACTATGTGAGTTCACACCCCTTGAGCATTATTTTAAGTTTGATTTCAGAGGAGATACAAATGAAACCCATTTGAATCAGCCAAGTTCCATCAAGTTTTGTGTCAAGCTTACAAATTTTGCATGATTTTGATGCATAACCATAAATCAGCCCAGGTGTGCTGAAAGTTTCTGTAAGTTTTACTATACCTTTTGATGAACTTGTTTTGACATTTGAGTTTGTAAGAAAATACAACACTAGGGAACTTTGCAGTGTTTAATTTTGGATGTTACATACAACTCTCACAGTAGTGTAGACTAGAGACATACATGACTTGTCATTAAATAGTAATTCATCTACTGTTAGTTCAGTGTTTGGAGTGTGCTGCCTGTCTCCCTAAAGACTACATGAATAAATAACTGAGAGTACGAAGTTTTCCCAAAGTTCAGAAACATTCCATTTCACTGGGGAATGTTTATTGATTATTATTTTTTTTAACCATCTATATGAATCAGGACTAAACATACAGTTGATTTATTTTTCAGTGTGTTAAGAAAATATATTTCCCATAAAGGGAGCTTCCTGGCAAAAGTATTTCTGGAGCCGAATTACAGTGTTATATGCTTACGTCTATGTTGTTGAGGCTGGTGTGTGCTGAGTTATCCAGCATATCCTTGCAGCTCTAAATGGAGTAGTATACATTAACATACATTAGCACAGAGGAAATAGAGTCAATCACATAATTTAAAGGGATATAATTCTGCTGGCCAATTTTTTTTTTTTTTTTTTCAATTTAAAAAAGAAAGTCTTTGAAGGTCATTTGTAAGTTAAATAGTTTTATGAGCTGCTGAAGTGCAAAGTAAATTGAATTGATTTAAAGTGCAGAACATGCTTCTCTTCTTGCTATCATAGTTCAGCTGTGGCTCTGCTGACTTTGTACAAACGCAATATGCAGTCTTTCCTATACGTAAGAAGCAGAAATGAAGAGCTAGCCCTCCTGAAAAGAATGTGGAAGAGCTAACTCTTTCGCTATGGGATTTCAAAATAACCTCTCCAGAATGTTACAGAAAGAATAAAGTGTGTGACACTGTTCAACAGCTGTTGAAGCATGCTGAAATGAACACACTGTTGTAGTTTGCAATATGCAGACTGTAGGTTTACGATTCTGAATGCCTTTATTAGAATTAATCAGTAGTTTACAAAGGGGAGATGAAATTAAAGGTCTAAAACCAGATACTGTTTACTGATGACTCACTGAAAGAGAGACAGAATGCTATGGTGTAATCGAGTGAGTAGTGTTGTGGACAGCAGAGGGTTTGGTTTAGAGGCAGTAGCTGGTATTTGCGAGGTGCTCTACGCTATCCGATTGGGTGTTATCCAGCCAGGTTCTGGTGGTGCTGCACTTTGCTGTGGTGCGCAGGGGAAGCTTCCAAGCCCCTCATGTGACTTCAGCCAGCAGTGAGTCAGGATGTTTTTCTTCTCTGCTACAATAAAAACCTTCAGTTAAAGAACAGGGTGGATGTTCTTAAGGACATGCAGGCAAATTACATTTCTCAGCACCGCCCACTGCAAGAAAGAGCTTTTAGAGTATTAATGTTTGATGATAAGTAGCATCAAGGTAGAGTAGTTGTGAAGAAGGTAAAAATAGACTTCAGTTAGAGAAGAGATTTTATTTCGAACCTCCCTCTAAATTAAACAGAACTTCCCCTGAAAGTGTACAGCTAGTCATTGGACTTTGTTCTTTCTCATTGCTATGAAAAAACTGCAAAAGCTTAATTTAAAACAGTCTTACTAAGCAAGTGAGGAAGCTTAAGAGACCCTGCTTATCGTAAGTTACATCTGTCCACTCTTTCTGCAAGGTTTTCTAGTGGTATGAAATGTGTTTTGCTGCCATATTCCGTATGCAGGGCGTTTTAACACATGTACTGCATAGTATCTATTTTTCTGAGTTAGTCAGAATTTCTTCTCAGTCTCCACTTGAAGTGCAGTTATGCAGAGTCAGTAGTTTCGAGTTTTTGGGGATTCTTCAAGTTAGAGAGAAACTGGAATCATAAGTCATTTGCTATATCCATCATAAAAAGGCTAAAATCAGAGTAAAGAACATCCCTCCTTTTCAGAATAAGAGAAAGATAGATGAGAAAAGATCATGAATTTGTATTGCTTCTTCCTCCCAAATGCCATGCCTTTAGTTTGTTCCCTAGCAGACCAGCACTGATTTTTTTAATAGACTGTGTGTTTGGATCTTTGTTTGATGCAAATTGTGGTGGCTTCTCTGACACTGAGCTGTTTTACATAGGCTGAGGTTTACCACAGAATGTAATGCACTAATATGTTTCTATGCAACTCAATAAGTTCTGTCAGAATTCTGTAGCTTCTCCTAGTGGGAGGTTCTTGTTCAATGCTTTTATGATTAAAATTGCAATGTCAAATGCAGATGTGTGATAAATGTGTTTAAGAGATGGATATGTGTTATGGCAGTGTTTGTCAGAGCTTTTTTGATGGCTTAATCTTCAGCTAGTGCAATTGGTCCATCAGATTATTTTCTTGTATTTCTCTGAATACCTTCTCCCTGTGCTTCCCTATTTTCCTTTATTTCATTTCTCTTATATTTTCCCTGTCTCTGTCTGGTCTCAGCGGGGTTCTCATTGAACCAGGGTTGAACACTGAGGACAGGATGAGGAAGATATTGTAGATATCTCTCCAATAACTTATTTTTGGCATGATAAGATCCAAGTCACAGAGAAGATTAAATAAAGAGCAAGGGAGGTCAGATGCACCCACTTGCAGTACTCAGATAGATGAACTGGTGGTCTTTAATAAACAATTCTGTTGTTTTTACTTGGCAAAATATATAAATTTCCCAACTACCACCACTAACAGAATAGATTAACAAATCCTCAGAGGTTGGATCAGATTGCCTTTAAAAATCCAAGGAAGCATGCACAAAATGCAAAGTAAGCCACAGACTTGTAATGGCCAGTTTTAGCCTATGAAGACCCACAGAGCGCTCATTGTCATATGATGCAGTGATAATGTGTTTTGTCTAGTGTCACACTAGTCACGTCTAGTGCCATTTCACTGCTTTTCTTTTTTTCCTGAGAGACAGTGAATGCCATTAGGGGAAGCTTTTTTTGCTTTCCCTGGCATTTGGCAAGAGTATAGCCCAAGTCAGCTTTATAGCTTGGAGGAGAGCCCAGCCCAACTCTTGGGATTCTCAGGCTTTTGTTGGGATGTCGGCACATAACATACTTCTTTTACGTACCAGCTAAAGTAGATTAGTTGCATTTGGGAAAGCAATACTCTTTTCTTTTCACTTCATCAGAATTCTCATTAAATAGGAAAAAAATTCTTAAAGTGAAAACAATTTATATTCTATCAAAGAAACACTTTAACCTTATAAGCAAACCTGTTGGCTTTGATTAGTTCTGGATGTTTATGAAAGCACAAGTGCATTTCTGTGTTTCTTTGTGACTGGTGTTATCTTTTGAATTGTATGGACTCTTTAGAAGGGAGGTTTTGTACATCAGACTTATTTTTCAGCCCATGAAGGTAGATGAATTGCAGTTTCTTCTTAACCCTTTCTATTAGACAGCCTTATTTGCGCTGTGAAACCTCTTTTCTTGCTGAAGAAGAGTTAACAGTGCATATAATTCCACAGACAACATTTTCATTTACAATCTGTAGGATACCACTGGATATTCATAGCTCATACATGATAATAACACAAAGGATCATCCTGCATGCCCACATGCTTTTGGGGTTCAGATAGTTATTCTTCATATGAGAGTGTACTCTCAGTGCTTTGCTCCACTATGACAGTTTCTCTTCTCTTAAATTCCTCTTGTTTATGTAGTATCATGCGATACATTCTCCCTTTCCTTTGTTTTCTTATTGCTACACCTTGTAAATAAAATTGAAACTGCTTTGTGACAAGGTGGATATCAGTTTAACAAGTGATTAGGCTAACCACATAAGTAAAACTAAGGGATCCCACCCCAAATGTAAGTGGCTTAACTCCACTGCCACCATCGTGACTGTTCCTTTTGCTGCTATAGAATGCATGATGTAGGGAAGAAGTGTCCTGGAAAAGGGTGACATTATGATGCAGATTTATTTACTGTCTTCAGGGTGGCTTTCTTCCTTGATGAGCGCTGCTTCATTTTCCCTTTGTAAAACTCAACTGTTTCTCCTCCAGACCTCAAAATATAATTTAAATAATGGGGAAGATTTTAAGGAGTACCTGTGCACTGCAGAATCTCTAACTAGGGCTTAGTGTTAGTTGTAATAGGTCAGCAACCACTGAAGCATAAAGGCTTCAGTGCTTGGCCTCTGAACAGTCAAAGCCATGACAGGAACCACTCTCATACTCTTTTCTGTCCTGCTTTTTCAACAGTTACATCGCAAACCAGAGAAAATTAGAAAGTATCAATGACAATGAAGTTGGATTTTACGTTGGACTTAAAAATCTGTGAGTACATGGAATAAATATTTTTAAAGTTATTTTTTCTCATTTCTCTCACAGAAGTACATAGAGACCTCACTGGAGTGTAAGTCTGCCTTTATACGTTACAGAGGACAGATCTTGCAGTTGAGCCTTGTAGTGATTTCCCCCACACTCTTATTTTAGCCATTTATTATCATTGTTCTTATCACTGTATTGTAAATGGACTATTCTAACAGTTTTTTCTGCTTTCACAGGACTGTGGTGGATTCAGGCTTAAGATTTGTGTCCCGTCAGGCATTTGTGAAAAACGTCAACCTACAATACATGTGAGTAAGAGAAGTGTCTGCCTTTCAAATCAAAACCCCTAACTCTTGTGAATTTCTTTCTCTCTTTTACCATTTCCTTAATATAAAACATTTTAACAAGACAGATGTATAATGACCATCTGTCATTCATTGACCTGAGTAGGGTATGTATGGTAAGGAGCCTGCCGAGTGTATGCCATGTATGATAAAGAACTGGCTGATCACAGGAACATAATGTAGGCTGGTGAAAAGACAGTCTAACTCATTATCCTGTCTCTAGCAATGGTCTCTGGCTGTGTCTTTTTTGGTACGTAATATACCACAGTGTCTGTCTCAGACACTGTCCACCCTCTGTGCATTGCACTGAGTGCCAAGGATTTGACTGGATTTAGTCTGATCCATCAGGTCAAAAATATTTTAGCAGCTATGGCGCAGTAGCTGCATGCATGGGATAGGCATATCTTCAGGTATAGCTTGACCACTTTGCATGCCCAGAGACTGTGCCATGACTGTGAAGCAGAGCCCTGTAAGTGAGGGTGAACAGAAAATTCACTTCAGAAGCTCACTCATAATCTAAGCAAATGTTGCCAAAGCGGAATATAAGAATGAGGTTACTTTCATATCCAACTGCAATTTGTGGTTCATGAATTTCAGGAAGCTGAATTGGTACCTATGGAGCTTTTTGCCTGTGTTTTTTGAGCTTGCTTACACTTTAGATGTGCATCTAGGACAGCCAAAGAGTAGATCACTTTGCTACTTACGTGGAAGATCGTGGATCCAGTCCTACAAAATGTTGAAACCATGTGTGGGGCTCAGTTCCTCACAGGTACTCTATTTTAATCAAATATTCAAGTATATATTTTCAGTCCATCCATCTTCTTTAGATGTTTAGCACTTACTCAACCCTTTGCTTTTGTTAGGTCCTAATGAGATCAAAAAGACATAAGACCAAGCCGCAGGCTTCCAAAGATACTTCCTCGTAATATGTAAGAGCTGCTGAACCGAGCTCAAGGCTTTGCTAATAAAATGAAATCACTTTCTACACCTGTGTTTTCCACAGAATAGCAATTAATTTACATAAGGAAGTGGATGTGAATATCTGTTTCTGCCTAAATATAATTGCTGTCACTAGAAGACTGTGAACCAGTCCTTGTTGGGCTGTAAGGCCATATTATTTCTTACAGTCATTAATAAAAAACTTTTACTATAACTAATTGGTGACATAAGGAAGTACGTTCCTGAAGTGAATTTGTTCTTCTGCTTATGTCGCAATTACTCGGTGAATTATGATTGCAAAAGATGAAATTCTATAAAGCCAAGTGCATGTGTGTTGTCTGTGGAAATGTGCAGTGAGAACTTACTGGTCAAGAGAGGCACAGCTGCGAACGATTCAGTTGCTATGCTGGGACAGAATCTTAGCTTAATGCAGTAACAGAGAAAATTCAGTCTGGGATTAAAATGAATTTATTCTTAGATTTTTCCCATTAGTGTAGCTGCTGGAAAGGCATCTATCTAGATGAGGATACTAAATCTACATGTCTAGAAAGATCCTACAGGGAGGACCAGTAGAGTCCTTGTCAAGGAAATCTTTTAAGAAATTAAGAAGCTGAGTATGTTCAGTCCAATAAAGAGAAGACTGAAAGGGATTATATATCTCTATATCTTCAAAAAGAGAGCAATTATGATGAGGAGAGCAATCAGTTGTCTCCATGACCATGAATATAGGATGATGAATAATAAGTTTAATTTGTATCAAGGTAGATGAATGTTTGGAAGTCTTTCCCATTTGAATGGGCAAGTAGACACTGTAAAAATTCACTGAAAGATCATGCGGATAAGATATCTTCAAATTATTTTAACCACAGGAAGAATTTCAGCTAGAGCATGCAGGCAAACATGGAACACGTAGTGATTGGTGATCAGGCTTTATGAGATCTGTAGTTCATGGAATGACCTTTTAGAAACAAATTAGGCTGGCTGACATCTGTTAGGTTGATGTACTTGGAATCCTGATTCAAGATAATTATGTTGTGATCCAGGAGCTTATTCAGTCTCATACTATATTTTGTTTTGGTGGGGAATTACTAATGTTAGCAGAAACAGGGCAACCCCAGATAAGATGGAAATTTTTAAATGGCACCACCTGCTTTATATACATGTCACAAAACAGTAAGTGTGGTGACATTTTTTGTTGAGGATGATCTATTACTCCTGCAAAAAAATGCACTTATTTATTTTTTTCTGGGAAATCTTGATGCATGATAAAATGTTTCTGATAACCCCAGTGAATCAGTTCTTGTTGTCATCAGCAATAAAACTCATGTTGACTGCACTGAGAATGAAATGCAGTCCCTTTTGTGGTTGGGACAGTGAAATCTATCAAGAGCTGGAATCATTTCACTTTGCAAGAGTAAACTGCAGAGATCTTTGAAAAGTTTTCTATTTTAAAGTAACAGTTTGCTATTACCCTGCAAAGAAAACAAAAACTGCCAACACTTTACTGAAGTAGCTGTATGAGCTTTAATTTTGCTGGTGATACTGCTGTAGTTTTCTCTTTCTTACATGAAAAATCTTCTGATATATTTAAAGATCTTTGTTATATGAATATAGCATTTGTTTTCTGAGTCATCTAGGAAAATCAGATTATAAGGAACCTGTTAACAGATTTCCTTAAGCCCTTTTTTGTTACATTCTTTTCTTGGACAATCATTTGTAGCCCAAATACCTTTCTGGAGGTATGGATGATAAGAAGACTTGAGTAATAATATAAAAAAAGAAACAAAAACAACTGAAGGAGAATTGCTCAAATAGATGCTATTTAAATGAAGTTAAATAATCTTGCTTATCTACTTCTGATATTTTCATTGAACTTGGACTCACATTAGACAACAGTCACATTTAACAAGCAACAGTACTTCTGTAATTTATAAGTTTGTCTGCTGCTAACAGTAATTTTAATGGACTTCTGTAATATGCATCCATGGTATTTTGTCAATATCTTTAAACACAAAAATATATTTTGCAGCAAGTGTTTATTTACTGGAACATCGAAAAATAGCTCTGGTTATGTGCCAGGCTTTGCTTCATTGCAATGATGAAGCATAAATGTGTGTTTATTATATGCATATAAATCTAGGTAATAAGATGTGTGTACTTGTCTACCAGGTTTAGGAAAAGCAGACAAATTAAAGTGTTTGAAACCTAGTGGCAGCTTTCCCATGTGCACATACAAAGCTGGTTCCAGCTGTAAGCAGATCATGCAGTTGCCTGTGGAGGGAGACTGAGCGTAGCAAAATGCCCACTTCTTTAACTCTTCTCCCTGTTTCTCCTTAGATCTGTTCCCCCTATTTCTTTCCTCTCCTTGTGTGGAGCCCTAAAGGCAGTAGAGCAAGCAGCACAGCAATATTGCAGTGGAGTGCTGTGCCTGTCTTGCTACCTGGGTAAATACTTACATAGCTTCTCAAGCTGCTCTTGCACTCTCTGAATAGCCACAACTTGGCTTTTGTCAGGGCTAGCTAGTTTAAAGTGAGCATGATATTTGTATGTAAAAAACAGTCATGCTTTTGACTGAATTCTGGTCTTGTTCTTAGGTACAGCTTTAGAGCCAAGCTCTGGGCTCTAACACGCTTTTTTTTTTTTAGGCTTTAGAACCCCAGATGGATCTTCTTTGGGCTGCTCACCATGATCTTTTTGCATATAGTTGAATTGGGGAACTAATTTATATTCTCCTTCCATGGAAGTGGAAGTGCAGGCCTTAACTACTTCATAATAAGCCTGGTAGTGACTTTTTCACTTAACATGAATTAAAGAGATCACAGAAGGAATCTTTATAATCAATATAATGTGCTCAGCTCCTTTATGTATAGCAGTAAATATACTGTCAAAGTGTCTTTTAAAATGATAATTCTATAATGGTGGCCTGAAAAATTTCTACTGAATTACTTGTCAACTTGAAAAACGTTCAAGGCACTAAACTACATGGAATAAAGGCCTGTGATCCCTGTGGTCTTGGAATTACTAAATATATCTACCCGTGACCAGGAATATAGGCATAGGAATTAATTTTGTTACTCTTCATACTGCTTCTCACTTCCTTTTTCTGGTATGCATCAAGTGCAGCTGGTAAAAATCTGAAAAGACAATTATAGCTATTAAGATACTTTTGTTTTCTCTAAGCTGGATTTGTTGAACGTTTTGTCCAACACAAAATGGCTTCAACTGGACAGAGATTTTCCTGAGGAGTCCACTGTCTGATAGCTAGGTCCTCACAGTATGGAAGTGGAAGTCCTGTTCCATGTGGAAACCAGGAGCCAAATCTGGTCTGTACGTGATGTGGGGTGTATTGCCTCCCACTAGCAAGGGCCTGAACACCTGCCTGCAAGTGGAGGCTCATGTATATCTGGCTGTTTTTTGGTAAGGGTGGAATTCAGTTGCTGTGCAGGTAGGAAAATCAGGCACTTGCCTCATTATGAGTGCCATGGAGACATCCACATGTACTGCTTAGCAGTGTTAGAACTAGAGGGGCTTTCCCACGTGGTGAGTGAAGTGTTGTGCGTGGAATGGTTAAATTTAATGTTCCATGTTGCCTCTATGCTAGAGAGAAAAGCCCATGCCCATCTTTTTTTCAGCATTTCAACATACAGCTTCTGCTTACTAAGGAAAAAATCAAAGTGGTATATTTTACTCAAGCATGTTTTCTGTCACATGTGCAAAGTGTACTTCAATTTTGATATACCTGCTCAGGGACATGATTTAGTGGAGGGTTGTTAGTTAGGCTGGTATGGTAATGTTATGGTTGGACTTGATGATCTTTAAGGTCTTTTCCAACCTGAGTGATTCTGTGATTCTATGATTCTATGATTCTACTTTATCAGGATCAATTAGATGCATCCACCTACATCTGCCGTAGGGCAGGCTAGTTCATCTGGCAAATGAAATAGTAGCTCATCTATTTTGTGCTCCAGTATTAGAACCACACAATTTGTAAACTTCAGATGGTTGCTTGCTGGAAGAAATCAATAAAGAAATATGGTAAATAAAATCTTGTAAGGATTCTGATCTGAAACTTTGTAGAAGATCCAATTTGCACTCTTGTAATTTCTTTGGAAATTGACTTGTACTCAGAAATCAAGGACTGAAAATTTGGGAATTAAATACTATGTTCTTTAGTCGGGGTGAAAAAAAGGTTTAATCCCTGGTTTTAAATGCAATGCAGCTATAGCTATGGAGCCCCTATGGCGCCTTTATAATACCACATAAAACTCATGTGGTATTTTGGCTCATAACACTGATTTGCACTGTACTGCTGGCAGTTTTACAGCTTACTGCTCTCACTGTCTTTAATTGGTGGACTGATAAATCAATAGAGGAACTGCATTATTTTGGGTTGGGGTGGAGAGAACAATTTTGTAAGTCTGGGAGAGGGGTTAGTATTTCTGATTCACGTGAACGTTTCTTTGCATAATGTGAGAGGACCTTTCACTTAATTACCATTGGAAACCGTAAGTGCTTAATTGACATAAAAAAGCCCAATATAGGCATTTTACAGTTTTCCTTTTGATCTTCCATGTGGGTGCATATTGTACATGCAATTTGAAAAGAATAACTAAAAGGCTCTGATGTGGATGTGTGCTAGCATGTAAGGAGGGTTTGTGTGAGCACAGAGTATGGTGCAGCATCAAAGGAAGGGATACACCCATTTCACTTATGAATAAATTGAGCATGTAATTAGCACCTGGACTTGACAAAATACTTTTGAAACACAATTAAATCTGCTGCTTTTCTGCAATAAACAGAAGGGCTAAAAGTGAAAATATTGTCCCCTGCTGACTTTGATTTTGAATGTACTTGACTTCAGATACAGATTGGATTCAAATGCTTGAAACCCATCAAGCTGCAAAAAGAGCACAATTTCATTCCAACTGAAGTAAAAGGAATAAAGGCTTTTTAGCACTGGTTTTATTTCTTCATTTCATTAAGAGAGACAAACGCTATTTTCAGTTTAAGAACAAGCAATCCTAATTAATGCAATCTTTCTCTTTTCCCATAGCAATTTATCTAGAAACAAGCTCTCAAGTTTGTCCAAGAAGCCTTTTCGCCATCTGGGTTTGTCTGATCTGTAAGTTGACATTTCTTAAAATACAGCTTATTTGTGGCTACAGTGAAAGAACAAGACTTAAAAGTTTGCTCTGTTGAAGAAGATAGACAGCCGTCAATGGTTTGGAATGAAGTTCAGATCCAAAGAAAGCAGCGATGTCAGTGATTTAAATACAGAAAAATTTTCATTGCAGGGCTTGACTGGGATCAAGTGTATGTTTTATAAAAAATACACAGGTTGAGAAAGCCTCTTCAGCTGTGAAATATTTTTATTGTTTTTGAGTTATTTCACAGAAAATGTCATTTGAGTTAGTTTAGCACAGCCATCTACAAATTGTCAAATGATTTCCCTGTCTTACATTCTTACATATATTGGCCTTACAGCTGCTGTAGTTGTAGTAGGATATTAAAGAAAGTTTTTATTTTCCCTTTGAGTTGCATTGTGCCTTAAGAAATCATTAGCTAATGAAGTACTGATAGACGTGTAGTTGCCAGTCACTTCAATATTACATTTTTATGCTCTGCTCTTTCAAGCAGAGATTATGAATTAGTGCACATTCCAAAATTTTATTCTGAAAGGCTAAAAAATGAGAGAAGAGGACATAACTTGCCTCTGAGGCAGATAAAGTTTTCTTATATTTGAGGCTTGCAAAAAAGGTGAGGCCTGCAAATGACTTTGGGACTGGGGATACTGATATAAAACACAGGGAAGACAGAGACTATCTTTTGAATACTTTTGAATAATGATTTTCCTCACTGATTTTTCTGAAAGAACTTTTAAGGCCTGGTATTGTGTTTCTGTGTGCAGTCTTTGCTAATATATGAACTGTAGAGGGAATTCAGGAGCTTTGGGAGGGTTGGAGCTGCGCAACAGAGGGAGGCTGCTCTCATAGAGCCTAGAGCAGGGTCAGAAATTACCCAAATGCCAATTCAAGAATTGCAACACAGTCTTAGCAATCCTGAACCCCATTTTAGTGAACTTCATCCTGTGAGAAATGAAGTGAGTAAATCACAGTGAGGCAAAAGGAGATTATGCCCCTTAGGTATGTTTTGTTGATGATTAAGTTGGTATAATCTCTTTCTTTACAGTGCAGGAACATTGCTCACTGGAATTTTCTTTCGTAACTTGGCAGTTGCTGAGCGCAGCCAACCACTGATGAAAGACTAGCTAGCTGCAGATCAGTCCCATTGCTGTATGCCTTCCATAGTTCTGTTGCTGCTGAAGCTTCTGTTGCTTCATACTTCTTATTTAGTCCCTGCCAAAAAGACACTGTTAGTGTGTACATATCCGTAGCTTCTGTGTTTCTGCAGGCATGGCCTTGAATAATAGGATGAAAGACATGAAACTAGTGCAGTGTGCTTTGTTTGGGATCTTCCTAATGTTTCTAAGCAGATAATGGAGAAACAGTCACCTTTGCCCCCATGGAATGCAGAACTATAAGGGTGGGTATGCTGTAACTTAAAAAGGAAATTACAGCAACTTTGAAGGCATACTGTGCTTCCAACTCTGCTGGTGTTTCCTTGGAGTTAGTCTGCTACAATTAACAGGTTTATTTCCAAGCACAAATCAAGCCACTCATGGACTTCTTCATATCAGGTGAACAGTTTCTTTTAGGTTCTGCGTGGAGTAAATGCTTGCAAAGATTCAGTGTTGCTTTATTCGTAACTGTTAAGTGAGCTGATGTAAGAAATGTAAGGGAAAGAAGACGGGGATAACAAAATAGAGCCTGGAAGATGGAAAAGCGGCGATAAAACCAGTATCAGTTGAACAGTTCTGTTGATAAATAGGTAACGTACAGGTGGAAGATTAGAATGGGGAGGATAAGAATGCTGAAAGGGAATTCTGAGAGGAGAATGTGCCATAAATTGCCTGTGAGAAGGTTACTCTAGATCTGAAAAAGAAACGTCTTCTTGTTAGCACACTTGTAAATCAAAGCATAAATGGATGAAAAGTTCAGGGAAGGGTGATGTAAGAGATATTTGCCACATACTGTAGAGAAGGAAATGCCACCTTGAAAGGTTTCTTCTTTTAGAACAAGCTGTAGCTGCAGCTGTAAAATTACAGCAAACAAGATAAAGACGTGTAATTTACTTCTACTAGGTTAGATTCTTTCTTTCACACAAGGGTGTGTGGAGAGCCATCATGCTTCTATCCAGCATCCTGCCTATTATATGCCTAACTCCTCTAATGTGTTTGACACAAGATAAAGCAGTGGAAGAAAGGACTGCTTAGCCACTGATTGAGAGAAAATTGTCTTTTAAATGGAAGTTGTATAATGAAAGAGAAGAAAAATAATACTGTTTGGGAAATGCACATCGTAGGCTTTGACCCTGGATCCTAGTATTCATACTTTGTCTTGCATAAGCAATTATTATTTATGCAGTAGTGCTGTGGAAGTCCAGCTGATGACTGCTGTGACTACAGATTGTTCCTTAAGAGGCTTGCAAGAATGATCCCTGCAGCTTTTTATTCACAAAGAATTACAGATGGCTTTTGAGGGACCAGGCTTTTGAGGGAACAGGTTACAGCTCTGAAAACCTGAGCTTTTCATGATTTGCACATTTTGCATCCTCAGAAGTTAGCCTCTTGCACATACAAGCATAAATACTGTAAGCAACTTGAGTCTGATTTCGGTACACCAAGGATACTTAGGAATTTTTGTTAGGAACTGTCATTCTATCTGTAATGAAATGCCTCAAACAGTCACTCACACGGTCTTTATTGGATCTCATCTCAGATTATCACGGCCATCGTCTGTGATCTATACCTATAGGAGAAAAAACTGTGCAGTTTATTTTTACTTGGACTGCACTGTACTACACTGTTATGTAGAATTTGCTAATTATGGTAACCTGGGGTTTAAATTCCATACAGTGTACTCTGTAGCTAAATTATTCTAAACATTTCTGTTTCAGGGTCATCTTTTCAGTTAGTGTTTCATCATAACATTGCATAGTGTTTTTACTTTGAGATTTTCTAGTATTATCAGAAGTGAATCTTTAAGGTGAATTTATTTTATTATTATAAGAGTTTTTAATAGTTTACCCATAATGAATAAGTCTGAAAGGAATTTGCCGCCTAACAGCAGTAAGCTCTGGCATGATCTTCCTGCGTTAGTATCTAGCATAGAAGAGACAAATTCTCTTCTTAAGGTCTCTGCTTAATCATTACAAAATAAAATGGAGCTTAATGTCTCCTGAATTACATCAGTTAATTGGAGACTGTGACTGAGCCCCTCTGTGATATCTTTGATCTATGGCAGTCTGGATTCTTGGTGCAAGCAAAGCTTTGTTTTCTGTGCGGAAACAACTACCTACTTTGGTAGGTAGCTTACATTGCACTGAGGGTTTTGGCCCGTAACCTTTCTATTTTCACCCAGCTGGGTGCTTTGAGTCCCTCTGCCTGTCAGCTTTTCCTGCATGATACATTCTGCTTTCTAAATATATATACTTTTCTCTTTCCTGTAGGATACTGGTGGACAATCCATTCAAGTGTTCCTGTGAAATTATGTGGATTAAGAAATTTCAAGAGACCAAGTTTTACACAGAAGCTCAGGATATATATTGCATAGATGACAATAACAAGCGGACAGCCTTGATGGATATGAAGGTCCCGAACTGCGGTAATATTCTTTTTACATATGTTTACTGCTAAATTGTCATAAGATGGGAAAGACAAACATGATTTCTTGCAAGACACCTTTCAGAATGACAACAACTCTACTTAAAGAAAGTGTTTTAAGAGAGAGATTAAGCTGTCTGTGGTCTTTCATCCCATGGAATAACTTTGGGAGCTTCACAAATAGCCTTCTTTTCCTTGATCCTTTTAAAAATATACCATTATTCAAGTGCAGGAAGACAGAACATGAATTATAGATAACACAGAAGAATTATATAAGAAGCACGTGCCTTTGTCAGACTAAATGGTAGTACTTCCAAGCTGAACAGACACAGAATTCTTCTTCCTTGATTTTTTAAAGCTATTTGAGGTTAATGAAATCTTTACTTTCTTTCAAATCTGCAAACTCTAGTGCTAGTACCAAAGAAAGAGAATTCAGAAAAAAAGAAAAAAAATGTCAGCTAACAGCAACAAATTAGGGAATAGCTCAGTTCTTCACATAGATAGAAGTCTACTGAGCTCACTTGTATAATTTATGCAAAAGAGTCATTGCAAGCTTAGTTCTGTAATATTTTGCAGCGTATTATTTTGCATTAGTGTAAGTGGATTTGAAGATTGTGGAAAAATGTCACAAAAGGCTTTTTTTTTTTCTATACAGTTTTGCTTCCTGTATATTGGACAGCTGGAGAGTGGTTAAGAGATATCTGCTGTGGATGAGAGGCAGTGTTCCAGTCACAGCATGAGGCTTGCTAAAGTCTAGAGTTTTCTTTGCAGAGCAGGCAGCTGGGTGCTTAGCAGCTGGCAGGCAAAAAGGAAAGAGATCAGGGTTTCTTCATGGAGGGATGATTTGAACGGAAGCTGTAAGTGAAGGTGAATGGCAGGAAGAACACAAAACCTGTACTTTTTGTCCTTCCACCATCCACTGAACATCCTTTTATCTACAGTGTTTGGATCATGAAGGACTGTCTGATAGCAGCTGCCAGTCAGGAGCAGCCATGGAAGAGACTTGATGTAGTCCTAACGTGTGCTGCTGTCTTTAAGGGCAGAAGTGTGTATCATGGCCATTCTGTAGATCTTGTTGGTCCTGCATCCCTGTTGGGGTCAGCTGTAGTAGTGTATTTTGCTAGAGTCTGATGGGATTAAAAATAATATGCAACCTATTCAGGAAGTCTTGTGTGCTGCAAGATCTGTTTTATGTGAAATGGGAGATGATACCAAGGTCAGCTACGTATATCCAACACCAAGGCTCAGCTGGATGAAATACAAAGTAGACTAATCTGGTGAGCGTGGAAAGATCTCCTGGTGGACTGAGGTCAGGTGGTGGGAACAGGAACTCCAGCATAATCTCTTACATCATCTTTGGCTGACACATCTAGAAGCCACCAGGCAGCTATGATTTTCCTCTGAAAACTTTTGGTGTTAAATACCCCAGGATTAAATCTACGAGGCATTACTTATTTTCTCAAGTTCTTCACTATCTGCAGTTGCAGCAGACCTGACACTCACCTGTTGATACTGTGTAGGTGTGTGTGCATACATGTGCACATTGTATGGGCATGTGTTTTTTTCTTTCCTTTTTCCTTCTTTTTCAGTTTCTTCTTTTTTTTTTTTTACTTACTTTACTTTTTTTCAGTATGAACAAATGTATTAATTACAGTAACAGCACAGCCATTTCCTAGGTGCAGGAGAGGAAATCCCAGGTGAAAAGAAATGGCATTCTTTGTGAGTGAGACCTGAGTTCTGGTTGAAGTCCGGAAGATCTGCTATATGACTGTTTTGTCAGGATACCTGCAGATATTTTTTCTGTATTTAAAAACACAAGACAATTAAAAAAAAAAAAAAAAAAAAAAAGCAACACTACCACTGGTTAGTTTATTTAATTTCTAGCACTTTCTGAGAGGCTATTAAGTGCAACTCAAGCAGCAGAAGAATATATATGTTATGTAGACTCTTTTTTTTTTTTTTTTCTTTGTACAACATGGTCCTTTCAGCTCCTTTTGATGTCAAGAGAAAATTTTTGGGCTTGCAGACTTCAGAATTTTGTTAGTAAAGCATTTTCTATCATTCTATACTAATGAAAGGATTTTATCCCATCTCTCTGTTTTGATTTAGGAACTGAGCAAATGTGCTCTTTTGTATGGGTGTAGGTGTTATTAATTACTTCATAATATCATACTAAGTGGCCAGGACAGTATGTGGTAAATGTCTTGGTAACAGGACATCTCGCAACTGTGTGCTGTTAATAAGCCTCTTGCTGGGAAGTTGGAAGAGGCCACTGTGGTTTCTTGATCACAAGGCTCTGGTTTGTAGGTAATTGATGTGAAAATTAGCAAAGTTCTGTGGTGCTTTACTTATTGCTTATATAGTGGAAATGTTCATTAATTCATTAAAGGCTGTTTGCAATTTAGATGCCATCAAATTTGTGATTTCTTGAGGTTTAAAATCAGTTATGCTGACTCGCTAAAAGATCCTTTTCAACTGCAATATTAAAAGTCTCCTTCAATTGTTATGATATTTGCAGCAATATTTTTTCAACTGCATTTGAAATTTATTTATACATGATAAAAATTGTCAGATACGTTTTGATTTTGAAGTCATTTCAAAGGTTTTTACCTACCACTACCACAGTTGTTTTAGTATTAGAGAAATTGTGGCATTTAGTTCTGCTGTTTTCACAGCATTTCCTGGTTGTCCATGCAGCAGAGATAGTATTGCTGCCTAGACCATCCTCTTTATTTTGTTTCTACCTGATAAACTGCATTAGAAAACCTAGAAAGAGAAGTACGTTTTTGGGTGTTAGTATTTTTGTAAGCAATGGTTGCAATCACCACTGATGTGTGGTTAGGGTCACTTCTAAGTTCCTCGGTTTTCAGATAATCTGGAGCTCTATGAATGCTGCAGACAGAAAAGCAGGTCCTTTAAAACTAATTATTAAGGTCACTCTCAGGTAAATGTTTGATCACTCAGCTGTTGTTGTTGAACGGTACTGAATATGTCCTTTTTCTTGTGGTGTTTTTGGTAGAGATGTGCCTTCTACAACTGTCTTGCAGTCCCATGTGTATTTTTTGTTGTTCTGGGTCTCAGTCTGATAATGCCATTTTGCCTTATCTGGCCGACTTTATTGGACAAATTGTTTTATGTATGCTGGTGCAGTGCTTGATCTGACTTTCAGTTTTGTTTATCCTGCCAGCATTCTGTGCTCATTTATCATATGTATTCATTGGTCATATATGCCAGCTAAAGTGTATTGAACAAAGTATCAAATTCTTCTCATATACTAATTTGTTGAACATGTGTGGGCTAGCTAGGTATTTGTTTCGATATGCAGAAATTTTGTTCAACCCTCTTCTGTCTCTTCCTTTATGCACAAGGCACTGTAGAGTGTAGGTTTTACTCTTACTGATGCTTCTTATGTTAGTTAACAATGCTTTAGAAGTCATTGCTGTAATGTAGAGTTGCAACCTGAAGAGTTGGGTGGCCCTTTTTTGCTTGCTTGGGAAAGACATGATATATTCACAGGCAGCTACTCTGATGACTATGAATGGACTGGGATGGGTTTGTCTTTATTTCAGCTACATTCTGGTGGTAGAGTTTTATCTTAGAGGTGAGCATGTAAAGGAAATACCAGATTGGAGTCATGCAGTTATAAATTCTACGGAGGGAAAAAGGCAAGCTGAAGGATTGACAGGTTTATTTCTTTAAATTTACAGAAAAGATTTGTAGTATTAGTGAGTCAATAAAATAAGCATTAGTTCTTAGGCAGCCACAGTGCAAAGCAGTCTAAAACCATGAGCAAAGGCATAATCCAGTGGGTGTTGACATCTTTTTCCATTATCAGCCAGACTTCACAGATAAGACTATCAGAAAGAGACTATTACAGTGATTTTTGAAAAACCCTTAAACATTCTCTGTGTTTACCTTTCAGAGTATTTATGGGCTCTCTAGCCTGTGCTGTTTATTTTGGCTTGAGAATCAGATGTTATGCATGATGTGTGGTGGCAAACTGTTCATATTTTCTCTGTTAGTTTTAATTTTTATCTGTGATCATGGGCTGCATGAAGAATGTGGTTGTTTTTTTTTTTTTTTTTCCTGAGAGTTTTGACAATAATTGGTTTTTGCTGCCCTGATGTTCTTAAAGTTTTCTGTACTGAATTGAAAAAAAATTCATTATTTCAATTTTGAGTGAAAATAACCAATAATTTGAAAAGGCTACAGGAATCAGAGATGTACATAACTTGTTTACTGACTTGATTTCTGCATGAACTTGTGTGAAATAGGTTTAAAATACAAAGCTGGTTAAAAATATAGAGCGGAAAGACACTACCTAAGGAAAATAAGTGTAACTTGACCACTGAAATGTTGTTCTTGAATTAAGTGTATTGAGCAGTTTTGTCAGGGTACTCTCTATGCCTGACTTGGCCTGTCTTTGTACATGTTAAATACTATTCTAATGAGAAAGAATAGCAAAATGGCTTTGGATGTAGGTATGCCTACTTTGCTTTTATGATGTAATTTGTGTGATGAAGACTAACAACTGGATAACTGTGTTTCAAAGTCATTTTTTTTCACTTAAGAATTGGAGATAATTCATGAAGGTGTCCCTTCAGCCATATGCAAACAAGGTATCAAGGGCGAAACCCATCATTTTTCTCATTTATGTGGTTCTCTGAAAATGTTTCTGTTTCAGGATCATGACAGGTTGGCAGTATTTTCATTATTTTCCAGACACACATAGAATTCTCCAGATAAAGCTGCAGGAATCGTAACCACATACCATACACTAAGTGAGTAAGAAACAATTTGTTAGAAGTTCACATAAGCTAATTCAGGCCTCATTATCTTGCATTACAGACTGTTTAGCTTAGTTTATCTGTTAAACTTGTGGCTGCTACATTCACCCTAACCACACGGAATGCATTTGGTTTTCTTTTAAAAGTTGATGTGGATAGACTGAAGATTACATACTAGTTGAGAACAGTTCTCCTGATGTAATTTAATTTCCTT